CATTTTAAAACGTAACTTAACCCATTTTAAATTCATTTTACAATAAGTTTTGGAAAAAATAAAAGAGTCCTTTATTCTGTCCGTATGTACAGATATCAAGGGAAAAAAATCATTCAAATGGGTTCAAGAGCAGTTAAAATGGCTATTTTCGTTGAAATATGATACGCAAAATTCTTCGCAATAATAATATTACTTCGTACCTTTATTACTACCTTTACTACTTTATTATTACCTTTATTTCATACAAGGAAATAAAAATGCATTAGAAGTAACGTACAAATTGATGTATACTAATATAATACAACTCTTTTCTTATGTAAATAGCAGCACAATGAGATAACGAGCTTTATATTATAACTTTAACAGTGAATGTCACACAAATTTTACTGTATTTCCTCGCGTATGCTTTTAGCACAAAGTCTTAAAAATATTATCGGATATTTACATAATTTTCCCCTCTCTCAAGGCGTTCAGAAAGCAAGCATCCCTAAAATTTAAATCCATTCGTCCACGTAGTGTTTGGCTTTGTCTTACTGATTGATTAGCTCACAGATTTTGGGTGCATAGCCTCTGATTGATGAAGCAATTACAGTGAAGAGCTTCAATTAAAGCTGCGATATCTGATGCTCGTGACGGTTATGATCATCACTGCACGTGAGAAGGCAGATTGAACGGTGTCGATGGTGACAGATTGAACGGTAATGACTGTGAAGACGGTGACAATAGTAACGACTTGCAAGCTGCAGTAAATAACACTGACAACAGTTTCAGCAGCACTGAATGATTTCAGGCCTAAAGAGTCGTAGTGGACATCAATTAAGAGAAGGCTAGATTCAGGGTATAGAGAGGTATTAGAAACGAAGATATCTTTTAAGATATTGTAACGCTAATATTAAGTATTCTTATTGAAATTTTAGTTTCTTTTAAATGAATAACACTGTCATAGTTACCAATAGTTTATCACTGAATAATTTTCATTTGTTTCGTTCTTACTGTAACAGTGTCTTTTGGGAATTAAAGTATTCACATAATTTTCCTCTTTCGGTTTTCGTATGATAAAATTAGTAAAAGAAGTGGAGATACACAAGTAAATACATTATTAGGATTTCTTCCATATAAGAAAACTTTAGTTTCCTAAAATTAAAACTATTTTAAAAACTCTCCTTTATACAGGAGTTTTAATTTTGGGGAAATAAAGTAGTCAGAACTAGATAAATCCAATGAATGCGGCCGGGGGTGGGAATTTACTAAAGATAATTTTATTTACCTTATTTAATTTTAAATGTCACGCAAATTAAATAAAAATATTTAATTAAAGAAAACTATTATTAAAATTTTTATTCAGCTAACTAAGCAAATCATTAATAACATTTTCAATGTTAACCACTGCTCGGTAGCTTTTCTATGTAAAAAAATTGACACTTACTTAAAAACTACTAACAGAATTTAATTTTTTGGTTGAACTGCTGGAAACAAATTACTATATGGCGTAAATATATTGATATTTAAAGATCAGTCTACGGAAATAACTCTCCAACTAAATCCCAGTGCTTCAAAAACGCAGAAAAAAGCAGGATTACGACGAAAAATTTTCGAATATGAGCAGTTTGAATAGTTTGTAATCTATGCGGAAGGATTTTAACTTTTAGAAATTTGTATAATGGCAATTCAATTAGTTCAAATAAAGATTAGCTGAAGAACGTTTAAACTTTAAGTACATAATTGCATTAACCGATAACATGCTATCAAAAGCTGAACATTTTCTAAAAACTATAACTGAACCGCAAATCGAATGCATGCTTTCCTACATAAACCATCAACTCTGCACACAATTAACTCAGCATTCGCTTGTACCAACTACAACGCAGAAAGATCATCTTCGAATTCGAAACGAATTAAAAATTACCTGCCATCATCGTGAACACAACACAGATTAAGTAATTTAAGTACACTGTTTATAAAATGTAATAAACATTGTAAACATTTGTAAAAATTGCATTGTAATTGTTGCATACATTTATAAAAAATAAATCCAGGATACGATCACATCCAATTTGTTAAGCTTTTCCTGTTGCGTGCATTTTTATAAATGCAAGTGTACCTTTGTTACATTTACTCTTGAAGGGATATGAATATATGACAATATAGTTTAGAATTTCTTTGGCAATGGAATTTATTTAATTAATTATACGTAAGATTTAATTATTCCCCCATACAATGGTATAAAGAGGACAGGCAAATTTATTATTCGAAAGCATGGTTACTGATATAAACCTTCAACAATTTTTCATCTTTCCATCCCATAGGGCAGCGTTTCTTAAAAAGTGGTTGTGACCCCAAATGGGGTCGCAAAGCGGAATGCTAGGATCGTAAAAATTGAATTCCGATACAAGAATTTAAAGATACTTTAGTCGAAATCTCTTTAGTTTGGTATACATTTTCTGTACAGTGCAATTACAAAAATCGGAATACTGACATGTAAATTACATTTGTATGTTGAAAAATACCACTAAGGACAACATAATAGCGGTGTCGCATTTAAGTTTCAAGCATATAAGTTACTTTAGAATCAAAATATCCTACAAACCCTCAGTACGTAAATTGTAAATATTTAAAACAACTTAAAAGTCTTAGAACACTATTTTGCAAATATTTTATATCGAATTTTGATTTCAAAGTGTTACCTTGGAATCAAAAAACATTTTTGATGGACATTAATGAGATTAATCAAATGTCATATAAAGCGGAAGGAGACTTCGTTGAGCCATCGAGTCACTTAAAACTTGAGTTTTCACAAAAATTCTTGGCTGAATTCTGGATCGGAGCCAGATCTGAATTTCTCACAATTTCTGAAATGCCATTCAGCTTCTGCTATTCAGCACCACATCATGTGAAACGATTTTTTCAGCTTTAACTCTTATTAAATATAAATATCGTTCAATTTGGTAGTTGGATATTTTACGTCCAGCAGTGCCAACACTGGACCAAGATTTCTTATGAGGCAGAAAACAAACACATCAGTCTCACTAAAATGTGATTTTCTTTCTTTAAATTTCGTACACTTGAAGCAAAACCTCAATTCGTTTCATACGTATAAGGTTAACATATAATAATAATAATTATTATATTATTATATTATATAATAATAATTATATTACATATTTAATAATAATTATTTTAATGATATTATTATTATTTACGAGAAAATTTTTATTTTTATAGCTTTATTTTACATTTAATATCTGCCGTTGCAAAAAAAATCGTGATGATAAAAAAAAGGTCATGAATGAAAAAGGTTTAAGAAGCGCTGATATGGACATTCCGCTATTAGAAAATATTAGAAATAGCTACATAACTTAGCATACTATTTTATACTTCTTCTTTCAATTAAAAAAATGCTCGGATTCTCCACAAGTTCAACTAACATACCTCATTCTCACCTGAATTCCTTGTCTGATTCTTGAAAGTCTCATTTCTGATTTTAATTCTTGAAGAATTTATTGCATAGCATTACAGTATAGTTCGATATATATCGGCTAAATTATAACAGCGTTAAAATTTCCCATCAAAGAATACAAATCCCAGTTACTCCTTTTGCAAAGACGTTTTATTCCTGAAGCAGCTCTATTCTCTGGATAGATAATAACTTACTTCTTCGTAAGACTCCGTTGCATTTCATTATTACATTCGTCTGCGCATCTATTATTGAAATCTTTCAGAGAAACAAACCAAAACAAAAAAAATTCTACATCAAATATCCAAAATACATTGATTTCTTAGAGACAAGAGGGAGTTTTCATAGAAAGGATTGGTAAAAAATTCTTTAAGACCATTTAAAAAATTCATAATAGCATCTCCCAGTAATGATTTATATCTATATAAACGAAACCAATACACAACATGCAGATTCCATCCTTCATGTTCTTAGCCATTTATCTAATTTAATGTACCATTCTAAATTTCTCTTGCCGATTTTTCGGTCTTAAAAACTGCTTTGGTTTTGGAAGAGGCCTCTCTTCCTCCAAATATGCGATGCTTGTTAACATTGGTAAGCTTCTTTCCATCAAATACTGAACTTCTCTCCGTAAATAGATAAGTGTTATCAGCTACTCCAACAGGTAGCTTACTTCTCTCAACCAGTCTTCTTTACAGATGCTTAAGAATTCACTGCGCAGCTTCGCCAAATGAACTGAGCCCACTTCTGGCACCTTATAAGTTTACATCAAGCATTCATTTGGCGCAGCCCACTTTTACTACCTTATAAGGTTACATCAAGTATTCGCTTGGCGAAGCTGCGCAGTGAATTCTTAAGCATCTGTAAAGAAGACTGGTTGAGAGAAGTAAGCTGCCTGTTGGAATAGCTGATAACACTTATCTATTTACCAAGAGAAGTTCATCTATTGATGGAAAGAAGTATACCAATTGTTAACAAGCGTCGCAGTATTTTCTCCCTCTTTCCAGCATGCCTTCGTGATGTAACGGTAGCACACTCGGCGCGTATTCGAGAGGTCCAGGTTCAAGTCCTGGCGAGGACACTGCACATTTTTTAAGTCTCTTGCTTCAAAATAACCTAATGACTTTAGAACCTAGAATCACAAAACTAACTTAAGGTAACTTAGGTAACCTGGTGTAACCCGTGCTCAAAAACTTCGTTATAGACATTACCTATTTGGCACTCAGGGATAGGCCACTGCCTAGAAACCCTTTTCCGCGGCTTTCTGCTACGTATATGAGAAGTTGAAGCCATTTAGATAAAAAAGCCCATACATAATTGTCCTCGATCTATTCAAAATCTACTTCATATTAAAGCTGCTTTTCACTTTAATTTTTGAAATACACGCTCTGAAAGTTAAAAACCATCTTCCAACAACTGCTTCTTTGAAGCATGAAATGATAGAATTATTACCTTTAAATGCAACCATTAATAACGTTATACAATATCACCAACAACCTTGAAGTGTAAACTTCAAATGTTGAAGAGACCAAGGAAAGTAACTTACCTCACTACATTTGGATGCTCGAAAGCCTCGATGTGTTTGAGCAGAGCTATTTCCCTGAGTGTCCCTAGAGGAATTCCGTCTTCTGTGAGGGGTACCCTAATTTTTTTTAGAGCCACAAACTGTCCCTCATTGGCAAGGTCCTTTGCCTTGTACACAGTTCCATAGGCGCCCGTGCCTATAAGAGACACTTCCTCATAATTCTCGGCTGTATCCTGGATGATAGAACTGGGGCTTTCTCTGAGATCTGGTTGTTGTGGTGGTGTCGCCACAGAACGTGTACTCCTCTTGGGACGAGGCATGGTCCCAGTAGTCCCGGGGTGCTTGGGCTCACCACCGGCTCATAGTCTGAAAATAAAAAATACAATGATTGGAAATTGAATATAGCGATATCAAAGGATAACATTCAAAACTCCATATTTAAAATACGTGTCCGTTTCCTTCAGTTTGAACATAAAATAACATAGCTATGCAACATAAATACATTTCAGAAATTTAATATATTAAACGGAGCTGTGCTGAGCCTACGTACAATAAGGCATCTGCTTCAAGTAAGAAATGAAAGAAGGATTCAATATTAAAACGTAACAAAATAAATATTAAAGTGAAAGCAACAAAGAAAATACACTGAAATGCCACTGAATTAGGCATAGTCATGGCTATACAAATTTTGTAGCGCTGCGACGCATTTCTGCTCACGTGAGGGCGTTACGGTAACCGCATATATAGCGAGTACTATGGTTGCTGTTAATCAGTCGTTTCAATTGCCAGTATGGGTAAAACTTCTAATTTAGACACCTTCGATCGAAGACAGACAGTAGACGCTCGACTCATAGGCCATTCGATTTTCGAAATCATCAGAGGGCAAGGATTAGATCGATAGTGTCAAGAGTATACCGAGAATACATGGATGATGGGAGAGAAAACTAGCGATTGGGCAAACTGCAAAGAACAATTAACCTTGAATGAACGTAGTGTAAGAGTGCTCTGGCGTATTGTACATAGCCAGAAAATCCAAACATTAGCTCAAAGTACGACCCATCTCAATCAGGGCGCCAATCGTATAGTCAATAAACGGTTCATTCAAAGCTCGCTTCACCATATGGGCTTCGGGAGTTGTAGAGCCATGAGATTACCGCTACTTAATGCCATCGAGCTGCACATCTTGCCTGGGCAAGAGAACACAGAGAATGGACTCTACAGGACCGGAAACGAGTAGCATGGAGTAATGAGTCTCGATTCCGACACTTAACACCGAAGGAGAGACTGGGAATATGGCGTCAGGCTCATATAGTCATGGATCCTGCATGCCAGGTTGGTTGCTCTTGTTTGTTCTTGATAGTGTTTGAGATCCTCGTTGTTTGCTCTTGAGATCCTTGGTAACTGCACCAACCTCCATCAAGATGATTCGGTAGGTAGCCTACTCAGCAATCATCTCTATCCATTTATGTTGTCCTGTCATTCACATGGAAATGGAGTATTTCCAGCACGATAATTGCAATTCTCACAGGTCCCGGTTGGCTACTGCCTTGTTGGATGAGCGTTCCTCTGACTTCTCTGTCATGAATTGGTTACCTAGAAGCCCTGACTTAAATATTACTGAGCACCTTCCGATGCTTCGGAAAAAGGTGTGAAACCACATTACATAACACTAGCGACTCTTCCTGAATTACGGACAGCGATATGTTAGGCTTTACATGCGACAAGCATGGAGTTTGCATTCTTGTATTACAGCTGCACATTTCTCAATGGTATCTTATCTAATAAAGATTGCAAATTTCGGTAATGAATTAGAATTCAATACAACTGATCTGGCATACAAATGGTATAATAAACCATCGTTAGAAACTGTAGCAAAGATGTACATAAACTAACTGGTTCTGGAGTTTAAAATGGGAAGGTACAAAAAAATACTGGCGCACTGAGCCACAAGTACTATTATTACGTTAATTAATATTATATATAAAATATTATGTTTACATATTTTAATTGTTATGTTAAAATTATTACATAATTTTTGCGTTACAGTAATTAGCAAGCTATAATTTGAATCCGTACTCCAAAATAGTCTGAATGTTATTTTGGAAGCTGCAGCCTCTTTTACATGCAATTTTTCCTCCACAAAAAAATTATTCTACAGCAGCAACAACAACAACAAACAACGCACGGCAAAGACAGGGGTGCAACTGAGAAGGAGACGGATAAGGCTGTGCAAATAAGCATTTCCTAAATGAATCACACTGGCACTATCCCAACTCTGGGCCAGCCTCGTCAGCTGACTCGGGGCCGCTCAACAATTATCTCTCTCTCTCGCGTCTTCTGAAATCATCACTGAGAGTCTCAAAGTAGTGAAATATGATACGAAAACAAAAGGTATTAAAGAATATATAAACTACTACAATGTTCAAACACGTTACTGAATTATAAAAAAGTCTGCAGCAATATTCATAAATTATAATATTATGTTTTGGATACACTTTACGATCTATACGAAATTCATATATTCATCAATATTCTACATTATTCATTAAACATAAATAATTACATTTTTCATATTCATAACATAAAAATTACATCATCCTTAATAAATTCATTAAGCTACTTCAATGAATTTTCCTAGTTACTGCCTTATTATTTATTTTTTAAAAATGTTTTCAATTACTTATTAATATATGCAGGCTTAATTTGGTGTTGATTTCAAATGAAATGGCTCAATATACTTCGTAAGAAACACCCCACCCACCCAGCGACAGATTATTCGGCGCATATGCACTGTTTTACCTGCTGAAAATAATAATAAAACATACGGCGCCATCTATTGAGAAAATCCCCCCAACCTAAGTTTTATTATTTGAAATCAAGGCCAAACTATGAACATTATCTGATATTCATCTTTCAGATGAAGTACAAACGTTACGTCACTCTTTTATCTTATGTATAAACAAACAAGTAAGAAAAAAAAAATAAATATTTCATTTGCAGAAATAAGATCTTACTTGCAGTACGAATTTCATCTAAAAAATTTTAAAAGAAAAACTGAAAAATAATCAAAACTAGAGCAACAGTTTAAAAAGAAGGCAATATATTTCTCGACGTCGAGATGACACCCGACCTAAAAGCCAATATACTATAGTATTTTTCTTCTTTGGAAAACATAGAAGATTATTATTAAAAGCTATTAATTATCTAAGCATTTTAGCATCATATTACACCAGCGGTATTCAAACTGCGCTTCGAAGACACGGTTCTTGACATTTCAGGACACAGCAGAGGAAACAAAATGCTTTATATTAATGTCATTTTTCTAAAAAACGCCACGTAAACAATATAGTCACAATGTTAAAATATTTTTGTAACATTAGAGATTAAATATCGTTTTGAGATTTATCGATTCGCATTTATTTTGCAATCGAAAGAAGAACTATAGGAAGACACATTTCGAACTTTTAAAATTGAAATATTTTTCATTATTGAATTCTGTACTTTATTTTGTTTTTACATGCTCCTATTTTCGAAATCATCCTGAAGGTGTAAAAAAAATCCATAGCCTATCATTCAATTTCACTAAAACTGTAGCATTACATTTTGTCTTCAACATCCAATTGTTATTATAAGACATATGATAAAGTTAAGTAAAACTCGATAAAATCATTAGATGAATAAATAATAAATGACATATAACCAGAAATACACATTTATTGAAAACTAGCAACATATACAAAAGAAAACTGCTTAGAAAAAGTAAAATCTGGAAATGTCTCTCGAAGATGAAAGAAAGGAAAATGTTCTACTCCCAGAACATCGAAGCAAGTGATGACGCCTTTTTCAAACGAAGCCGCATAATATGTCCAGGAATGAAACGTCCTCTGCAGCATTTTAACTGCATGTGAGAAATAAAACCGTGATATAATAAAAGAAAAAAATTGAAAATTACCCAATTAATATTTTCGGATCATTTTTAATTTAAAAGAATGTGAAAGACCATTTTTACAACATTATAATCTTCAGAATCTAACGAAATCACAAAACGTAACAACAGATATTAAAAAATTAGCATTTATATTGAATGAAACCAAACGATTATCTACACTGCGATATGTAATGCCCGGTGTTAGAAATATTTTTCATCAAGTACAATCATGATACTAATACCAATACTAAACATATTGGCAAATTATATTTGTTTTACACTGCGTCCAGTAAATATATTGCTGAAAAATGAAAGAAAGATTTATATTTTAAACGTTTGCTGCTACAAATCAATCAGTTTGCTATGCAATATAATTATAACTCGGAAGACAAAGATACGAAGTCACACCGAATAGTCACATTCTGGAAGTTAGCTAATACTAGGGCACATAGAAAGATAGAGCAACTATTTTATTTTCACTCAGTAGTGCATGTGACAAGTGCATGGTAGCGTAACATAACGGTGAAACATTTTTCGAAAAACTTCGCTACAGACAATTCTAATGCAAAAACAAGACATTTTCCCCCCTCTCTCAGAACAATAGATAAATTCAGAGAGTAACGATAAAAAAGCAGCTGCTGTCTTCTTTTATTTCGTGCCAATTTTAAACAACATACCGATAAATAGGCACGCGTACGATTCTTATATCTGAAGCACAATAAGTTTCAGCTTAAAACCGCGTACATGAAAGATGAACGATAAACGAATTTGGAAACAACGTCTCTAAATCTCTATTTTAACGGTCCTCTCAGAATGGGAAGTACACGAATCTGTAATTACATGGGAACATCTGCTCCATTAGATGTCAATCGAAAAGTTGGTGAAGGGAAGACTAGAAGTTTATTACATGGATAGTTAATTTTAAAAGAATTATAAATAAAATAAAAGTTCTTTTCCGAAGCGTATCTGATATCGTTAATTTTAATAGAATTTGCTTAAAAAGCACACGAAATGATATCCCCCCCCCATTATCTCGGTAGTACATCATGCTCAAGAACACATTAAAAAGTTACACTTTGCCTACAGATATGCTGTTCTGAAATACTTTTAGCCCAAAGAGGCTATAAGTCTCCATACGGCATTCTGCGTCGGTTCACTTTGACCGTTAATACAAATACTACTTCACAATGACCGTTTCACATTTCAAACTGTTGCCACTAAATATTATCACGCTGTATTATACTTAAAAAAATTAAATAAGGATAAACCTGCATGAATGTATGTATATTTCTCGCAAAATGAAAAAACACGATACCTAGAGCCATCCAATTTTGAATAACGTAATCCTCCATCCGACTATGGGTATTTGAAAGCCCAAATGTGGAATTCGGAATTTGTTTTATTATTTATTTCATATTTTTGTAAAACTTTAACGAAT